TTACTCAGATTAGAATAGAACAAAATAAAACAAAGAATGGAAAAGAATAGACTAAAACACAGTAAAATAGACTGGAGCAGAATGGAACAGAATAATTTAGAACTGAACAGAATTGAACTGTAGAAGAGACTTACTCAGATTAGAATAGAACAAAATAAAACAAAGAATGGAAAAGAATAGACTAAAACACAGTAAAATAGACTGGAGCAGAATGGAACAGAATAATTTAGAATTGAACGGAATATAACAGCAGAAGATACTGATGCAGAGTAGAATAGAACATAATAAAACAGAGCAGAATGGAGAACACAGTATAACAGACTGGAGAAGAATAGAATAATTTAGAATTGAAGAGAATAAAACAGTCGAAGACTGACGCAGAAAGGAGTAGAAAAGTATGAAAGGGTAAGTTAGACTGAAGCAGAATAGAATTGAATTTAACAGAATAGAACAGTAGAAGAGACACAGAATAGAATAGAACAGTAGAATAGACTAATATAGTGAAATATATCATAATGCCGCAGAACAGAATAGAACTGAACAGGACATTGGAGAAATTAAAAACTAAATAATAAAGTAGAATAGAACTGAACGAAACAGAACAGGTCACAACAGAATAAAAAAAATAGAATAGAATGTCTGAGCCTGGTTTCAGAAATCCAAGTGAAAAGTACTTGATATAATTCCAAATATTGATAATTGGGGCTCATAAAATAATGCTAAAATAAATGCATTTAATTATTTTACAATTGTTTTTAAGTTTTCGTAAATTTTCTTTAAAAAAGTTAGATTTTAACAATTCAAAATCTAAAAGCGAAGCTTTGTATGTTTGAACTGAATGTTGTTCACAGGGATTGTGTTTGCACCGTATGGCCCACTGTGGCGCACAAACCGTAAGTTCTGTCACAGCACTCTGCGCAGCTTTGGCTTTGGCAAGCTGAGTCTGGAGCCGTGCATCCATGAAGGTCTGACCATGATTAAAACAGAACTGCAGAGCCTCATCGAAAAATCAGGGCCTTCTGGTATCGATCTGACTCCCCTCATCAGCAATGCTGTCTCCAACGTCATCTCCTCCATGAGTCTGGGTCAGCGTTTCCATCCCCAGGACCAGGAGTTCCGCACCATGCTGGATCTCATGTCTCACGGGCTGGAAATTAGCGTCAACACATCCATTTTGCTTATCAATGTCTTTCCCTGGTTATACTACCTGCCCTGCGGTGTTTTCAAAGAGCTGCGGCGCGCAGAGATCGACATCACGGCCTTCCTGAAGAAGATCATCGCGAGGCACAGGGCCACGCTGGATCCGGAGAATCCCAGGGATTTCATAGACATGTATCTGGTGGAGATGCTGGCCCAGCAAAAGAGCGATAATTCAGAACAGAGTTTGTTCTCAGAGGACGATCTCTTCTACATCATTGGAGACCTCTTTATTGCAGGCACTGATACTACCACAAACAGCATGTTGTGGAGTATTCTCTATATGTCCTTGTATCCTGATGTGCAAGGTATGTGCACCAGCGCTGTAAAGTGTAATTTACAAATGTCTGAAGGTTTGGTTTCTGGTTATATATGAAATTTTAGTTTGATGACCCCTCAGAGAAGGTTCAGCAGGAGATTGATGCAGTGGTGGGATCTGAGAGAGTCCCGTCTCTGACTGATAAGGGCAGTTTGCCGTACACAGAAGCCACCATTATGGAGGTGCAGAGGATGACTGTAGTGGTTCCTCTGTCTATACCCCACATGGCCTCGGAAACCACAGGTGAGGTCAGATTTGCTGCCTGATGTATGTTTACCTCATGCCTATTTAGTCTCATTAAACATATTAGCTGTGCTACATTCACAAATTCATATAGTTGTCCTTTTAATTTTATAATCGTATACTGTATATAAAATTTTTAATTAAAAAAAGAACACACTCAAAAGTAAAATGTCTGGTTGCATTACAATAGTGAAAGTATGCGTGAAATAATGAAAATAATGTCACAATGTACAAACAATATTGTTCCTAAAAATATGCTTTATTTTCTATAAACAAAAATCGATATAAATGTAATATAAAAATACAAAATGAAATAATATAAATAAATATACTATATAAATATATTTTATATATACATATAATCTTTCCAGTCAGTACTGTCAGAATTTATTCTTTTCTATTATGCCTTTATTCTTTTCTATTCTGTCAGCTCTTCTACTGTTCTATTCCGTTCAATTCTAAATTATTCCATTCTGCTCCAGTCTATTCTATTCTGTCCTGTTTTATCATGTTCTATTCTTTTCGGTGTCAGTCTCTTTTGCTTTTCTATTCTGTTCAATTCTAAATCATTTTATTCTGCTCTAGTCTAATATACTGTTATTATAATAAATAATATATATAATATAAATAGAGTACTATAAATATAAATTTTATACATACTTGGAGATTTTTTCTTTCTTTCTTTCTTTTTTTTTGTGTGACCTGAATAATTTTTTATCCAGATTTTTGATTTAGCTGAGAATATATATTATATACCGTGCCCAACTGAATGTATTTTTTTGCTTTGTTTATTTTTTAAAGTTTGTCTAAAGTAAATTATTAATGAATAAAACTGAACCAGGTCAACTTGAACTTTACCATAATCCACCTATTGGCACTACAAGGTAGATAACAGTCAGACTTTAACCTGAATCTGTATTTTTTACATTAAATCCAAAGGGTGTACAAATATTATGACTGTACAAATACTTTGAGAGGACACGCTTAAAAGCACAAGCAACTGAATATTTCAGCTATATTTATCTCTTCCTAGAGTTCCGAGGATACACTATTCCTAAAGGAACAGTTATCATCCCAAACCTCTGGTCAGTACACAGGGATCCCACCGTGTGGGAAAATCCTGATGACTTCAATCCAGGCAGATTTCTGGATGAACAGGGAAAACTTCTCAGGAAAGACTGTTTTATTCCGTTTGGAATCGGTATGTTTGTAATCATGTAACCTAGAAACCAGCAATTTAACATGTTTAGGTTTTATGCTAATAACTACTTTTCCAACGAGAACTTTGTTTAAATGATGTTTTGTATATCTGGCAGGTCGCAGGGTGTGCATGGGAGAGCAGCTGGCTAAGATGGAGCTGTTTCAGATGTTTACCAGCCTGATGCAGGCCTTCACTTTCAGGCTTCCTGAGGGGAAATCTGCTCCATCCATGCACGGACGCTTTGGCCTGACTCTGGCTCCATGCCCATTTACTGTCTGTGTGAAAGCGCGCTGAACAGCCTTTTAAAAAAGAGGCATTCCTCAAACAATCATCACTGGGAAGCAAATTGCATGGGTTGTCCATTAAGAAGAGTTTTCATTTGGACCATAAATGAAGTAAGGGCCTTTGTGGTTGCATGATCAAGCAAAAGGTCTGAGATTATTGTATGTAATTATAATTTTTTTGAACAACTTCAAGAAATGAGAACACATACCTAAGTATTATGTCAGTTTTGATTACATTTATTTTAAAATATTAATTTCATAATCCAATAAAACCTAATTGTTTTTTGTTTTTTTTAAAGTTTTGAGATTATTTTATGTGGAATGTTCCTGAACAATTTCAAGAAATAAGAACATATGCCTAAGCATCATGTCAGCATATTTTAGTTGTATTATTACATTTATTTTAAAATATTCATTTTATAATCCGATGTTTTTTTTCTCTCAAAATGATTAGTTGGTTACTGTACTGTACTATGAGACTGTTATTATACATTTTGTAAAGAATTATTGCAGAAAACTCTTTCAAATATGGTTTAGTGCTATCATTAAAAACATGAATGGGTGTTCAGCAATGGACCTGAAATGAGATCCTATGAAATACTGTGATAAAAAGCTCTCTTAAAACAACACTCACTAATTTCAATTTGTCTACTAAAAATGTATCATGTTTGATGTCATTTTGGGGTGGAAATTAAAATTGAAATATTTTTGGAATAAAATGGCCAGTCTTGCTAAAGTTGATTTCATATCTAGAATTTCATGTGCTATACACATGCTATTTTCACACTTTTTGTCTAATTTGACAAAAAATACTGCTTGACTGAAAATGATGCACAATAAAATATCCTGCTGGAAAGCAATATTTACCTTGATTTGTCTTTGCTTTCTTCACACTTCGTGTGTCATCATGTTAATTGCAAGCTCTTCACTGACTCTGTTGCTTCCTTAGTAAACAACTACACTAATTTTACACTAATCACGTATTTATAATAAATACATTATTGATGAATGTTTGTTGTGGACAAAACAATGCTATAATTGTGGGTACAGTGGTCATTTTTGAAAATTCATAATCGGTTTTAAACGTAATAATTTGTGTGTGCATTGAACATCTGAGTTTAGGAAAAATGAAATCAACACTATATTTGTGGCGGTAATTATTTAGAATCATATGCAATAGGCCGATCATGTAGCCTAATTAGGGCTGGACGATATGGCAAAAATTTATATCACGATATATTTCTTAATTTCAGTCGATACGATATAATTCCGATATGAACACTATTAAAAAAAGCCTCGTAAAAACCGCCAAGAATGCCACAACAGATGTCTGTGCATACAAACTTATGAAAAATGAATTTGCAAAAGTCTCTGACACCTCATATAATATTTTAGAGAAAAAAAACCCAGCACAAATAAATTAATGTTCACCTTTTATTTGTATTTAGCCTTCATTCAAACAAGAAATTGATCCAAAAAATGTTTTTGATCTAAAATACAGCAAAAACAGTAACATTTTGAAATATGTTTTAAAATGTAATCTATTCCTGTGATTTCAAAGCTATATTTTAAGCATCATTACTCCAGTCACATGATCCTTCAGAAATCATTCTAATATTCTGATTTGCTGCTCAAAAATAATTTATTATTATGTTGACATTTAGAATTAAATAGAATTTTTTCAGGTCTCTTTGATGAATAGAAAGTTCAGAAGAACAGAATTGATCTGAAATAGAAATCTTTTGTAACATTATAAATGTCTTTATCTTCACTTTTGATCAATTTAAATCATCCTTGCTAAATAAATGTATTAATTTCTATAATTTCATGCTGACTCCAAGCTTTTGAATGGAATAGTGTATAATGTTACAAAAGGTTTTTATTTCAGATAAATGCTGATCATTAGGTCTTTCTATTCATCAAAGAATCCTGAAAAAAAAGATTCTGTTTTAAATATTGATAATCAGCAAATCGGCATATTAGAATGATTTCTGGATCATGTGACACTGAAGACTGGAGTAATGATGCAGAAAATTCAGCTTTGATCACAGGAATAAATTACATTTTAAAATATATTCAAATAAAAAGCAGTTATTTTAAATAGTAAAAATATTTCTCTTTTTTTTTTGCTGTACTTTGGATCAAATAAATGCAGGCTTGGTGAGCAGAAGAGAATTAAGTGCAAACTGATTGTCTGCCAGCAGGAGGCGCTTTAAGAGCGGAAGAACTAGCGGTTTCTCCAGTAATAGCTGTAATTAAATCAGCTCCGCTCATGAACACTTCTTTATTAGATCAAATAAAAATCCCATCGAAACTTTTCTGAAGACAGTCCTTTCACTTTTGAGATAAATTCATATAAAACACCCGCGACAAGTTTTGATTTTAAAACGTGCAGTGCTATGTTTATTCAAAGAAGTCAAACGCCACAAATAAATCAATGTATGGGAAACACTGGTAATGTAGGCTACATTGAAATAGGTTTAAAAGCCATATCACCGTTATTGAAAAATATATATATCGCGATACATATTGATATTGAATTATTGTCCAGCCCTAAGCCTAATACATATATATTTTTTAATCAACGCCAATCTTACACAATTAATTACAGTAACAACGAAAAAGGATTTTAAAAAAGAAACGAACAGCGGTTATACGAGGTTGTAAAATTATTAGAAATTATTATTATTAGCCTATTATTATTGTATCTTATAAATGGTCATTAACATTTAGAGTATAGTTTTGCATTGAAACGCATTTGTTAATAATAATAAAAACACACACATTGGCAATATATGATTTGATTGGGTATAACAAAATCCCAGCAGGTCTTGACTGTGTCTGAAAGGTCGTCGCAAGGGGAGGAAACCACGTGATCCCATCAGCAAGCTTGCTCCAGTTGTTCTCGAGCTCGCGCTGTGTGTCATTAGCGAGAGCCGCCATGGCATTCGTAACGCGCCAGTTCATCAGGAGTCTCTCGTCCTCTGCTGCAATTAAACATGTCACTATTATCGGAGGCGGGCTGATGGGGGCTGGCATCGCACAGGTAAAGTGAACAATAAAGCAAATAAATATGACTGCATATTTCTGCAAAGAGCAAGTGTTTTGCCAAGCCAGGCTACAAGCTAAGAGCTATCAACAAACAACAGCTATTGAAGGTCTTTCTAGTTTCAAGTCGCGTGTAGTTGCATTGCGGAGACGACGATTTGTGAATGAATCTTGGCTAGTTTGTTGCAAACTTCTCCCACGTTTCGACTGTCTTGTAACTTTATGTCAAGGAGTGACCTTTCACCCACTTACCCAGCACACATACCGTTAACGTTTAGTACATTTCTGTCGTTTTCGTTTATATAAACCATATATTGAATATGTGTAACGTTTATATTGCATACTGAAGTTGTTTGAAATAAATATTTTAAATAGTAAAAAAAAAATGAAAAAAATATTGATCTTTTTTGCCTCCAAAACATGATTTTTAGGGATGTAACGGTATTAAAATTGACCGACATTATCACGGTTATCATTATTATCACGGTATTGTTAAAATGTGCAGGAGATGTTAAAAAAAGTACTTGACTAAATCACTTCACCAAGTTTTATATTTAAAAACCAACAAACAACAAATAAAATGACGTTTAGTTTGCATAATCACTAAAACTATAACATTACCAATGATGTTCGGATTTTAAATCACAACTTGGCTGACAACAGTTTAATAGCATGTTGAAATATCTCATGTAGATGTTCAAATGAAGCTTTGAAAAAGTTTCATAAAAAGGTAAACCTCACAATTCAGCCTTTAAATAAAGAAAAGATATAAGTCAAACTGATAATTGATTAATAAATGATTATATGTATTTTATCTGCTCCATAAATCATTCTAGATAGCTTATGTGAATTGTTTAAATGTGTAGAATCCACATAAGCTTGTTTTTCATCAACCGGTCAAAATTTACAGCAGGGCATGCACATTCAGTCCGTGTTTGGCCAGACAGAAACTGCACAGGCTGAATGTAAATACAGGTCTCTGTAAATCCGCTCGCTGACAGCAGGTGGCGCTTATGGAAAAGCTGAATTCGAGCTGTTTCCCGTAACGTCCGTGGACAAAGCAGTATTGCGATTAAGAACACTTGCTTTAGGTATTACATGGAGCGAAGATGAACACAAAATGCCATCAAATCGTTTCTGAAGACGGTCAGAACCTTCAGAGGTACATTCATATAATTAATTCTCACATATATTCAGGGTTTGAAATGAACACCCGCCAAATGTGGGTAAAAATCAGCTGTGGCGGGTAAAAATCACTAGCCAATTTGGCGGGTTACTTTTCGTAAATGATGTTCACTCATTCATTTCTTGGGGACGTTTATGCAAGCCAAATCTGCGCAGGTTTAGCGCAAATACTGAACTCGTGAGATATCATGACATTATCGAGTATATTGCAAAAGATAAACAAAACACACCTACAGAGGCGTGCATACGCGACGTGATGAAGTCTGGTTAGACCAACACAGGATTTAGTGCGCGTGCGCTTTTATAGTGCGCTCTTTCGTTGCATGATTCAGTCTATTAATATGCATTAATAATGATCACATACTTCAAGATAAGGAGGCAGAAAATTTATATATTTATATCAGTTCATATAGTTAATCAATATCACACGAAGAGTGCCGTTTTTAATTAAAAAATCAGCATGGTTACAAATGTAATATTTATTTTATACAACAGTTCAATAAACAATAAGTTAATATCTAGAGACTTACATTTTAGACCCCATATTGGCTGTTTTTGCGCTATTTCTGTGCTATTTCGCCAACAAAAACCATTCCAAACACAGCCACAGCACTGTTTTGCGTCTCTGAGCAACATGACGGTGTTTTGATTGATTCAGAAACATAACAACATCATGTTGCTCAGAGATGCAAAACCCTGCTGTGGCTGTGTTTGGAATGGTTTTTGTTTAAATGATTCGGTTCGTTCGCAATGAATCACTTATTAACAGTGACTTGCTGCCACCTACTGGCTACCTACTATCTTTTAATTTTTTGAATAATTTCAAATATCAGTATTCAACATTTCATGTTTAAAATATCAAAAAATTATTTATGCATTTGTAACTGCAGTTTAAAACAATCCATGTCCCTCTAAGCTGCATTAGCATGTGTAAATGCATCTAAATGCCACTTCATATGCAACTGATCAAGATATCAGCACAATAACACACTCAGCAAAATATCGTCTAATTATCTTTATCGATAAAATCACCGAAAATATTGAGATATATTTTTTTTTTTGTCAATATCGCACACCCCTAGTACTGACAAAATGATTTGTAGCGGTCGCTTTGTCACGCCCAGTGTAGACGGCCTCAAGCTGTTGGTGTATTTCTGTCTTTTTTGTTTTTGGCTAGTAGAAGTAATGAATGGCCGGTAACTTCAAAATTTAATAGCCAAATTGGCTGGTGAGTGAAAAAGTTAATTTCAATCCCTGCATATATCTATTTGTATAATTCCCTTAGAACTCTTAAAACCTCCCAGCTTTTCCGCCCTGTTTTCACTCAAAACGAAACTACTCTTTGTGCTGTGCGCACGCGAGACTGTTACTTAAAACTGTGCTTTATGCTGGACAGTATTTATTTATCGCGAGTTGTTGAAATAGCGGTAATCTAATACGGGTTTAATGATAATTAAAAGATGAAACGGTAATACTAACCGTGGGGAATTTTATCATGATTTATCGTCAAACCGGTAATCGTTACATCCCTAATGATTTCATTTCATAATGTCCATGAAACATGAAGATGGTTTCTCTGAGCACAACACATATAAGATGCAGTGACTCATACTGTTTTTATCCACTTTTAACTTTAATATTAGGTATGTCCACCTTTTGCAGCAATTACAGCAGCACATCTCTGACATAGTGTCATTATATTTCCTGAGAACTTCAACACTAATGTTATCCCATGCCTTCTGCAACTCAAGCCAATGGCTTTCCTTTGAATGTACAATAGATCTGTCCAGTTTATTTTCCAACTCGGACTTTGAGTAAATGATGACTGAATGTTTATTATTAGGTGAACTACGCCGTGAATTACACTTCCCAGTGTTTCTCATTGAACGGAGTTGCTTTCTACATCACAACGACGACTTTGTATTGTGATGTCATTAGAACAACGGTATCATGGGCTTCATTTCTTTATTTTTTTTAGGTTGCTGCATCCACAGGACATTCAGTGGTGCTGGTGGACACATCTGAGGACATACTGAAGAAATCTGCAAAGGGTATTGAGTCTAGTCTGAAGAGAGTGGCGAAGAAGAAGTTTGCAGAAAAACCTGAGGTTAGTTTGACAGCACCAACTAGGTCACAAAGATTGAATTGCTAAATATGCTCTATTGTTTATTAACTGTGGCTCACGTTCCCTAGGATGGAGAGGCGTTCATTCAGAAAGTCCTGAAGAACATCTCTACAAGCACAGACGCTGCGTCTGTAGTTCAGGGCACTGATCTTGTGGTGGATGCTATTGTGGAAAACCTCAAAGTCAAACAAGATCTGTTTGGAGCTCTGGACAAAGCAGCCCCAGAGTAAGAAAAACTCGTTTTTTCTTTTCTCAGTTAAAATAATAGTGAGAACAGAATATTAGGTACAATGGGGCTAAAGGTGCATTTGATTTGATTTGAAAATACACAGCAGCATCTTCAATGGATTTATGTAGCAAACAAAATGTAAGCCGCCCACCAATAACACGGCTATTTCCTCAATGAACAAATGCATAGACATTATTTGAAATTATTTTATTATATGAAAAGAAAAAGCACAGCTATATAGGAAATCATTTGACAAAAGTCGCTTAAACTGTTCAGTGTCATTATGCAAAAGTATTTAAAGCAGAGAATCTAGTATTTTGACGAGCTGTGAAATGAGTTATTTAATTTAGCTGTAAATGAATGCATCCTAATTTACATACTTGTACTATGCACTAAAAGTAATGGCATGAATGCTGAAGCTTGGTTTAGTATTGTGACAGTCAGATGTTTGCTCTCTCTTCAGACACACTATCTTCGCTAGCAACACGTCCTCTCTGTCAATCGCAGACATCGCCAGCTCCACGGCCAGATTAGATCGCTTTGGTGGTCTGCATTTTTTTAACCCCGTCCCAATGATGAAGCTGGTGGAGGTCTGGATTGAGTTTGATTCACTTACTGCACAAGCATCCACATTAATGCAAATGACAGTTTCTCTTCAAGATATTGCAGCTTACATTGAAATGAATATATTAAACATGTAGTTTCAGTTTTGACTAACTGTCTGATCTCAGGTGATTAAAGCTCCAGGAACAAGCCAACAGACTTTTGATGCTCTCCTTGAGTTCAGCAAAGCTTTAGGGAAGCATCCAGTCTCATGCAAAGTATGTGCTCTGTAATCTTGTATATTATGTTGACTTTATCATCTCTCTCTGTCTGTCTGTCTATCCAGTATCTGTCTGTCTCATTAGCAAAGCTTAACAGCTAGACTAGGGCAAGCTAGCAAACATAGTAAAACACGATAGAAACATGCAATGGCATGCTTGAAACATGCTAGCAATATTCTAAAACATGTTAGCAATGTGTTTATGCATGTTAGCAATATGTTAAAACATGCTTGAAATGTTAAACATTATAGAAGCATGTTAAATCATGCTTAATCATGCTAGCAATGTGCTTAAACATGTTTGAAACATGTTAAAATGTGCTTAATGTGTTAGCAATATGTTAAAACGTGCTTAATCATGCTAAAAATGTGCTAAAACAAAGCCTAACAACTAGCCTAAGGCAAGCTAGCAACATAAACATGATAGAAACACGCAATGTCCTTAAACAGGCTTGAAACATACTAGCAATATTCTAAAACATGTTAGCAGCATGCTAAAACATGCTTGAAATGTTAAACATTATAGAAGCATGTTAAAACATGTTAAAACATGCTTAATCATGCTAGCAATGTGCTTAAACATGTTTGAAACATGTTAAAATGTGCTTAATGTGTTAAACATGCTTTCAAAATGTTAAAACATGTTAATAAAGAGTTGAATCATGCTAGAAAGATATTAACATCACGTTAAAATATGCTAGAATTCTGAAAGCTTTTTAAAGCTAAATTCAAATTTCAGACAAGGCTTTGTCAAGCCAACATCAAAGTTTTTCAAACTTTATTTATAGTTATTATTATTATTAGTGTTGCTAACACAAAAATCACTATTACTGTTGCATGTACTTGTGGTTAGAGATTTGAATAAATCCTTCAACTCTCATTTGCTCTCCTCTCAGGACACTCCAGGTTTTATAGTGAATCGACTGCTGGTTCCTTACATGCTCGAGGCTGTTCGACTACACGAGAGAGGTACAGTCAAGCTTTATGAACGGATACCCAAACATATTATGGCTTTTGTGTACATTTGGATTTCATCTTGTTGTGTACATTTCCCAGGTCACGGTTCTAAGGAAGACATAGATGTGGCCATGAAGCTTGGGGCCGGTTATCCTATGGGTCCGTTTGAGCTCCTGGACTATGTTGGATTGGACACTTCCAAGTTTATTATTGACGGTGAGCGTTTTGTATTGAGCATACCAAGTTTTGATGCAAAAGTACTGTTGATTTCTAATTATGGGTTTGTGTAGGTTGGCATGAGAAGGACCCCGATAACCCCCTGTTTGCCCCCAGTCCCCTGCTCAACAAACTAGTAGCAGAGGGAAAACTGGGCAAGAAAACTGGTGAGGGATTCTACAAACACAAGTAACACAAGTGAAGATTAAATCCGACAACAGAAGTCTTGTCAACCAAATGCACTGGACTGAGCTACTCGTCCTGAAAAGACTGTTTGATTGTGAATTTCATAAATGTGTCGAGGTTAAGAAAGTGATTAGATGCACTGCTTGTCACAAGGAAGACCTGTATGAAATACTGGACCTCAAGCAATCAGTCAAGACATAAAAGGTCTAAAAGATAGGAATATTGACCACTACATCTAGTGCCTTGCTGTAATTGGTTAAAAACTCACGTTCATTAATTCTGAATGTCTACATTAAAAGGTTTGAAAATGTCTTTTCATGTGTTTTGTACTTACTGAAGTAATTGTCAGATGTGCATAAGTTGATATTAGCAGGAAGTAGAATGATGCATTTAAAAAAAGCCTTTAGTTAGAATATTTCTCTGTCGATCATGCTAGTCTAATAATATAACATGCAGTCACTAGATGTCGCTGTTTCATCATTTATTCAGACTTGGTTCCCAGTCAAGAAAGCTATCAAAATAGTTGTTTTATTTGGCACATAAAAATTGTATTTCTCCATAAAAAATACAATGAAAGTATTAGAACACTTGTGTCACACTTAAACATTTATAAATGTCACCATGTAGGATAAAATATAACCGCAAGTGACATTTATTTAAAGATCTCAACATTTTGTGGCCACTGTATGCAACACAGGGGCGGGCTTAACCAATAAGCGAGGTAAGCGGCTGCTTAGGGGCCCGAGGAATCAGGGGGCCCCATCTGACATTGGTGAAACATATTTAGCAAACGCTCCAGTGTGTATTTGAGTTATAGAGAGCCTCAAATGTTCACTCGCCACTTGAAATGCCGAGTTTTTGTCAGGTGCTGAGAATCTTCTCATAACAACGTGTAGCTACGATGTAAATAAGAAATTCATTGTGCAGTGCAGACAGCTTCATTGATTAAGGAACGTCGTGAGATCTCGATGAACTGAAGTGAATGACAGCTTTATAAACAATTTTTTGTAAAAAGATTGAAGAAGTTTACTATTCATTAAATGTACAATTGCAAGCTTTTTTCTATAATTTCTTCTTTTGTGATCTGGAAAAAAATAAGGTAGCCTAATATGGCTTTAGAACAGCATCAGGTTGACTAATTATTTAAGTTGTGAAAAGGTAAATAAACTAGTTATAGCTATAACCTATGAAAGAGGGAGAGAGCGAGCAAAATAAGGGTTAGGCTTAAAAGAGCATATAGTTATTGTGTTGGGGCCCCATACCTGAAATTTGCTTAGGGCCTCCAAATCACTAAGTCTGCCCCTGCATGCACACATGATTTATATTAATCAGCTAGCGTTTTAAAGTTGTATCAATAATTAAAAGAGAGCGACGAATCATTTATACAAATGCTTTATGCTTTATATTAACTTTTGGTGCTTGGATATTTTCTTTATGGCTATTCAGACTTCAAAAAATATGGTTTGCTGATGGCTTGTGAGTTTCTTATGTTACATAAGCAAAAATCACAAACTCGGTGTCCTCACATACCCTTGTTGTAGACTCACTTCACATTTTGTGGTAAGACATATGTCAGAACTTTGCCTTTTGAAGAATTCATGAATATATTTTCAGCTTTCTGCAATGTCCAATATAAATGCACATGTTAAAGTCACAATAAGTAATTTTCGTCGTGCGAATACTTCATGGGAACAGCGGAGAGTTTCCTACTTCAGGGTTTTCCCTATCAAAAAGCCATTTTTCTGATTTCTCCTCACATTGTTGCTTGTTCTGAGGCTGCCGGTCACTCAGGGTTTCTGGCAGACAGCCATTACACTCACTGATGCCCACGGAAGAGAGAGCAGACCGCAGAAAATGACATCTTGAGTGAGTAAATGACAACACGAACTCTTATAAAGTTATGTGCGGAACATATGAGAACAACTTGACATGGAAAGCCACGGTAGTGTTGTTTTGATCAGAACATTGCAACAAAGTCGAAACACTTCAAACTTCCTTATTACTGTATTTACATAATGTTATGATCACATGCTGTCAGTCACAGTAGGCCTACTTTGTATAGACATAACTAACTGAATAAATAATCATTATTAATATTCAAAGTGGTGCTGCCAAATCGATTAATCGCGATTAATCGCATCCAAAATAAGTTTTTGTTTACATAATATAGTCAAACCAAAATTTCAGACACCTTCAACATCTCTCACGTTATCACAGTTTATTCACTATAGTTTAGAAAACGGTAATAAAATATGACAAGAACTCAGAGTTAAACTGTGTCAGAACGCATCATATGACCCCTTTAATGACAATGAGGCAGTCGTGTTTTGATTTGATCATCTTCCAGTAAATGGTGCCGTATCATATACATTGGCCTTTATAGCCAGTTTAAATCCTATTGTTACACATTTGTTGTAACAGACGAGCCTAGCATAAAGCCAAACATGAGCACAACAGCCACAGAAAAGGATCGAAACAGGACAAAGTCCGTTAGCAATTATAACTTGGTATTGTTACTGGTACTTAACTACAGTTAAGTAGTATTTAGCTCTTCGTAAACTGGCCTCAGTATCAGACAGTCTTTATGTTTAAGCTTGGGTTAGGAACTTATTACAAACACCAAATATCAATAACAGAAAACACATGATGGCGCGGTTTCATGCGTAAGGTGGCACTGTGGTACCATAAACTAGACAGCAACTCGGTGAGCTTTACTGATACTGAAAACATCCTACATACAGCAGTTGTGTATGCTGTCATACTGCATTCAGTGATCATGCTACGTATATTTTTAGACCCCAAATTTGAGCATTTGTAAGGAGAAAAATGACTGGCCATTTAATCTTTTTAGCTTTATTGCAAATCATTTCCCTTATTAGCATGCACTTAAGGGTGCATGCGTGTTGCTACATTTTATGGGGCACGAAAAAGAAAATGAGGGAGTGACGTAGTGAACACACAGAAGACAGAGGTGCCAAATAACTTAGAATAACTTAGGAACAGGTGTAGGAACGCGTGTGTGTTTGTTTACATGTGGCCATATGTGCGCTTTACAAACGGTCGAGGAACATAATCAGTGCAACGCCTTCGGCTTTGGGAGTAAATTAAGGACAGAAAACAAAAAGGAACATTCAAACGAGTGAATACGGGTCTGCGTGAGGGCCTGTGTTGGTGATTGTCTGTTCTCAGTTCAACGTCTCTACAGCAGCGCCTGCAGCCGAGGAGCAGATTCAAGGACCGGGACCCTCTGGAGATTCCGCAGGGGTCAAAGAAGTGACAGAGGGGTGAAAGGTTGAGGAATCTAGCAGGCTTCCATCTCTAAAAGGGGGCCTGTAGCTGCTGTCTTTGCTTTGCAAGAGGAAAAAGAAGTCCGTTTTCCTCCTGTAGAACACAAATGGAGAACAAAAAACATGGGAAGTTTAATAATACATTTAAAAATATGCATTTTATATATATATATATATATATATATATATATTATTATTTTATTTTTTTAATTTATTTATACACATACATATATAAGGAATAATTAACATTTTTAAAAGGAGAATTTTAAAATATATTATTATTATTATTACACGGTTTTTCAAGGGATATTCACAAAAAAACGAAAATTGTAATTTACTATGAAAAAAATATTTTGAAGTGCGTTTTAGTGTTTTTTTGTTGTTTTCTTTTTGTGTTTGCTTTTTTGTCTATACACTGAAAAGTCAGTGTGGCCCAGTGCTTTTTTGGATCCCACTGACCTTAATTGCATGGACAAAAAAAAACAGTTGAAATATTTTGTTTTAGAATGATTGAGAAATGACAGAATTTTTATTTGAAGAATTTTAGAACTACCATTTATATAATTATGTATATTACTTTATTTTTAAAACGATCAAAATAATCAAAATGTCAATTCATAGTAACTGTACAGTCTCTCAAGAACATTGTGCATGAAAACATGACAGAAATGTAAAAAAAACTAAAAAAACATCGAGATCAATTTTTACCATGCATTATAATTTGTGTATTGCACATTAGGACATTTAGAGCAAAAACAGATTGCAAACGTTCAACAAATTGGCACACTCAAAAAGTCCCCAGCATAGCATTTTCAAAGAAAAAAAAAAGAGAAAAGATTCCCATGTCCAACATTAATCAAGAATCGTATTCTTAGAAACCCAAAATTTTCCAACTCAATCTGTTTGTCCAATCTGAATCCCTTTTGAAATGTGAAATATTAAATGTAACAGACTCTATTTTGGTCGACAAGCTGTATGGGGCTATTTCAGAAGTGCATCAAATGGAATTCCTGATCAAAGTGAGAAGCAGGAATACAGGAGCAAACCTCTGATGGATAGAGAGGCTTGAGAGAGAGCGAGGGAGATGGATAAAATCTAGTAGTGGGCTCCTCCCTGGAGCGGAGGTCGAACACAACCTTTTTCTGCGAGATGTCAGTTTTGCTCCACAACTCCACCCTGGACCACTTTCACACATAAATACACTCGTACACCCGTGTGGACGGCTTTACCACATGTGGATGAAAGGCAACTACTTTTCCAGGGAGCGCTGACCCTGGTGCCGAACCAGGAGAGAGAAAGAGAGCCACCGTGCTTTTATTTACCTCCCCTGCCCAGCCTTTTCATCCTATGAACTCAAAGCTTCCCTGTGCCCTGCGCCCCCTTCCTGGAGAGCGTTTTCCTTCCCGGCCGCAGATGAAAAACGCTGGCACGCTTTTCTGCCTTTCCCCGCCAGCCTCCTGTTGGAAGGGGAGGGGGCACGTCAGGGTGTTTGGAGAGGTTAGGACGGTGCCGTCGGGCCACGCTTTACAATCTGCTCCCATACAAACGCAGGGATTCAAGAGCTACTTCCCATTTGCGCTGTGGAATGCCGAGGCCCGGCTCGCAGGAAATGAAACGCTCCTCTGTATTCGAGGGCCAGCCACTCTCAGTGCTTCTCTTCGGCTCGGCGGTAGCGAGGCTGCGCTTTGAAGTGTGGGAGGTTAAGATAACAGGCATGGCCCTGTGTCACTCAATTGGCCTGTTCACCTCCTGAGGCAAATCAAAAAGCCAGCAGCTGGGACTGACATACCTCCTTCCTGCGGTCTAACCCTTCCCTTTCCCCAAAAACCAGAGAAGGTGGTTCGAAGTGCTCAGAGAGGAAGAAAAAATATTGTTCTGAAGAACTGGAGAAAGTGTGCCTCGGTTTTATGTTTGCTGGTAAATTGTGTTATCAGCAGGATCAGAGTGGTCTGTTTGCAGCTCAAAACCTTAACCTTAAGTATATGCAGGAATTGGCAGGTTTACTAGGTGGCAACACTCACAGTTGAGGAGTTACTTTCAAAATTGTGTAAAAGACGGAAAATTCAAAGAAAAAAATCGTTCTTATTGAATCTTGAGTAATTTCTGGCTAATTTCCAATTAAAATATCTAAACATCCTGGAAATAAATTAACTCAAGAAGAAACACTGCATAATATAAAAAAAATATTAAATATTTCACTTTCTTTTCTTTTCATTTTTTAAAGCATAAAACTAGTTAAAACG